CTGAATGTTTAGAGATAAATTAGATCTTCTTGTTGTTTTTAAAAAAATCCCTGTACTTCTTACTTTCACCTACAGCACAGAACATCTGCAGAAGTGGCCACTAAGTGAATCATAAAATCCAGCCGCCTGCTGAAAACAAAAAATCTTACGACACGAAAAAGCGAAATAAAGACTGGTTATCCACAACTATGACTATGAATAATTCTCCAAACCTATTTTTGGACCCACATTTGCATAGATTTCAGGTGAATGTCATTCACGAAAGCCACGAGAACTCGATCCAATCTCAGGGAGATCCCGAGCCACAACGTTACGAAGAGACTTCTTTCGCTAAAGATGCCGCCAAGAGACTCCACATCAGCTTCAGGTCTGGAAACCAAGAAACGTACGACCGTTTCTTTCAAAATGGCGACACTGCCAAAACAGATGGAAGCTTTCATCCCTACGACACAAACAGTGACACCTATTATCTAAAAACCTTTGGACATAACACCATGGATGTTGTGCCAAAAATCGATTATTACCAGAACACTGGAAGCATCAGAGGAGCCAAAATGAACCGGCCAAGTCTGATGGATATCCACGAACACTTGGCAAAGGTAGGTTAAAAAAAAATAATGAAGGAAAATATTCTTTGGTCTTCCTTAAAGAGCTAGAAGGGAAACAGTTCTTAGGAACCAAACTTGGTACACAGATGACTTACTCTCTGGAAACAAATGCTGTGGGGTAAGACACCCCTAAAACCCCTCAGGGTGTGCGTTCTGTTAAGATACAGCCTGTTGTGCCTTAAAATGCCTTCTCTTGTATTGTCTTAAAATGGCTTCTACTGTACAGCTCAGTGGAGTTGTCATGGTAACGGCTTCACAGTACTCCACAAAGGGGCTCCCTCTGGTAAGGGGGAAAATCTAACAATAGATTGGTTCGGACATTTTCCCCCTATAAATCAATACCCAGGCAATGCCAGATTATCAGCTAGTTTATTATACAATTTAGAAAGATCCAGATCACAAGAAGCTGAAAAACACAGATGTTCTTTCCTCCTTAATGAGTTTCACAACTACCATTTTAATAAAAAAAATAACCAGGAAATCTTCGTAGTTGTAACCTTGGTAGGTACAGATTGCTCTCAGTGAATGAGTACATTTGACTGACAAAATCTGCACAAGGTGGGTATCACTAATGAGTACTAACTCCTTGTCACTAAACCGAGACAAATAATAGAAGGAAGTAATTTAGACAAAGAAGCAGTGAAAAATCCTTCCCAATTACCCCTTCCTGCCTTCTCTGTTTTAAACCTAAATCTACATTCCTTCCTATAATACAAAATATCCTTTCTCCTCACACTATTTCTTCTTATTAGTTTCCATTGTAAAATAAAAATGTCCTTAGGAGAAAAATAAGGAAAATATTTGGGTGAGAAACGCAAACTTTAGGTTCTGCTCTTTTTAAAGTATTATGGCGTTTTAGAAATTATTTTGGGATTGGAAGAAATGAAACTGACCCCTGAAATTAAAACTGCTCAAAAATTAAGTGTTGAAGATCATAGTGCTCTAAAAAATGCTGTTCCCATCCTATTTTAATGGCTAATCGTCTAATATTAAAATACCAGAATGCTACCTGTTGCTAGACCAAAATTGATCTAGGCTTCCATTTCATGTACTTCAAGGTGTAAACACCTGGAAAGCTTATTCCAAGGGAGAGCCAAGGTGGCGCAGTGGTTAAATGCAGCACTGCAGGCTACTGCTAGATCAGCAGGTCAGCGGTTCAAATCTCACCGGCTCAGGGTTGACTCAGCCTTCCATCCTTCCGAGGTGGGTAAAATGAGGACCCAGATTG